ACCGTATTTCCACGACCCACTTGTATGATAAGACGAGTACTATTTACCGCATGTTTTAACTGGCCCGAGGAGGCTTTTCAACTGCTCTTTGGAACACAAGAATTATTCTAAAGGCTCACGCCTTGTCGGTTGAGATGAATGACATTGAGACAAGTGGGAGTGGTATTCGCCTGTCTGCCCCCACTGTAGGATGAAATACAGAGCCTCCGATTTGTCTTCCGGCCCACAGTCGTCGTAGGTAGACGCATAGTGGACAGTAATACATTATCGGCAGGTTTTACCCACAGAGCAATCGAGACTGGAAAGTGCACGTGTGGATGACAGGATGATTGATTGGACGCCGCTATACGACATTCCGTGGGAGTTCTTGACCAATGCAGCAAGGGAAAAGGGAGCACACATAATCCGTGTTGTAGGCAAAAGAAACTGGTGGATGCCGCTGTCATCTGGCAAGTTAAAATGAGCGTGCAGAATACCATTCGCGACTGTCGTTGGCATCAAAATCCGCCATTCTCATCGTTGGTGATGCGGAAAGGTGTGCATAGAAGCGAAATGCAGGAAGTGCAGCCAAAGCCCGTGGCACAGCTCGAGAACCACGCCCCCACAAAGTACCATTTTACTCAGTGATGAATAAGTAATCCAGCAGTGAGCCGACATTGTCACACATTAGGTGCCACCGCGTCCTGAAAACAAGGGTCGAGACAACTAGACGATGCACATAAACATAAAAACAAGAATTTCTTGTCGCTTTAGGTTCGAGCAAAGCCTCTTTCAGTTCCTTCAGTTCTTCTTTCAGTACTTCTAGTTTCGTGAGTTCTATTTGGAAACATCACCTTACCAACGGGGCATGGTTCAGAGAAATATAGCGTGGACAGTCACCTGTTGAGCCTGAAGGGCAGATTCCGTCTGTTGTTGTTGCTGCTGCTGCTGCTGTTGTTGACGAGCAACTGCCTCGAGAGCAGCCTGATTTCCGCTCGCCATGGCTGCAAGCATCTGTTGGCGGAATTGGTCAACGAGGGGTGCAGGAACCTGAGACGCATTCGGAACGCACTGGACCATACCGGGTGCAACGAGAGCGACCGGC